GAACTCCCGACCTTGAGCGATCCACCCGCCTCGGCCTCCCAGAGTGCTAGGATTACAGGCGTGAGCCACCGCACCCGGCCCAACATGGATGTATTAATATTTCAGATGCATTTTGCTATGTGACAGAAATAAGACTCAAAAGGCACATACAGTGTGATTCCATTCACTGAGAGATCAGTGGTTACCAGGAGGTGGGAGCAGAGAGGAGGTTGGCTACAAAGAAGCACAAGAAAAACTGAGGCATAATGGAAATATTCTCTGTCTTGATTGTGGTAGTAGTTGTTACATGATTATGTGCATTTATCAAAACTCCTAGAACTATACATCAAAATGGGTGAATTTTACTGTTTATAAATTATGCCTCAATAGATCTGGCCTAATGAAACAAAAGAAATTACTTAAGTTTTTTAATTTCCTGGAATATACTGCAAATGTATTAATAACAATCAGGATGTTTCTGGCCACAGATAACACTCAGCTTGGCCTAAACAATAATGAATTATTTAATGAAGTTTATTGGCTTCATTCCTGTGGTTATAGGATGGCTGTTCATAGCACTTAAGTCTTCATGTACCCTCATTCTCACAGAGCTCCAAAGGGATCCCTTCCCATAGGCTCTCCCTGAAGAGTGGGGAGCCTCCTGTTGCCAAAACCTTCAGTGTATATTTCTTCATGTCTCATTCCTGAACCCTTTGCTATATGCTCAACTTCTTATACCATTCAAGGCCTCCCCTTTGATCTGGAAATGAGGATAGTTTCCCCAAAGAAATTGTCTATATAGTAGTGGGGTATATGCGCTAGTCAAATCTGGATAGCACTAAGAAATGGAACAGGAGAGTGCCAGGCTGTCAACCAGCAATGCCAGTACTTTTCCCCAAGTTTATTAAATCAAAACTGTGACTACTTGTAGAATTTGACAACTGTATAGTTCTTATTTTAGTGTTTCTGAGACCACAGATGATTTAAATACTATTGTATTACTTTACGTAAAGATTTCACAAAAAAGTACCTCCTTCCAATGCTGCTCTAAGAAGCAACACATTAACTTTCCACATTAGAACAGATATTGCATATAAAGCATAAAGTAGATCTCATGTGTGTTGAACACAGTGAAGCATTCATAGAACTTAGTAGCGTTTATACACAGTTTATTTATTTTTATTTTATTTATTTATTTTTAT